TTGGCCAGCTCTCCAAGACTGCTTGATAATTTGGGTTGAAGACATTGGTCTAATGAAGACCAGAAATCAAGGTGAAGAAACACTGTAGGAAGGAGAGAAACACAAGTTAAGACAACCACACAACACCTCCTTCAACATTTTCCAGTGACTAGTTGTAAGAAATCTAATGAACGCTCACCTTTTTTTGGTACAATTTTGAAAGACTGCTGTCTCACAGTTGCATGGCATAATAGAGACTCCTAACTTTTGAAAAAGTTGTTCTGTAAAGTGTAAAAAAGAGGATAAATACCAAGTGCCAACAATGCCACCTGCTGGCCTTTGCTGGTAAAGCAAGCATGACCTAAGCCTGTTATTATCATTGTGGCCGTTGTTATTGCATATAGGACTCAAAATGTGCTAATTCTTACTGACCAGTTACAGCAGTAATCACAGATGGTAATCACAGAAGCATTTCACATGGAATCTTTGGCATCCTTATATTTTGGGCACCCAACAATGACCCCAATACTTGGCAGTTAATCACTGAAAATACAAATGTAAGAACAAAATGTCTGTTTTTTTCTTGATGTATTAAAATCAATTAAAGTTTGGTCAGCAAGCACATCAACATCAATATCACACTAAGGTTTGTACTCCCCCTGGCTCTCAGTGATACAGGATCAGCAGCGTGCCCATTGAGACTGTCTGTATCCACCAGAATGGCCAGACGAAGGTAGAAAAAATAATCAGAGTAGCTACTGCTTTACAGAAGTTAGGAAGTTGAACTTGAAGTGGCCTCAAGAGTATGAACAAATGGTTTTCCATATACTAGGGGTAGTTCAAAAGGTTCCAAAAGAAAGAATATTTAGGACTAAGAGAGAATTAAACAGATAAAAATGCATAGGAGTGCATGTACACACACAAGTGGCAACCACAGAAGCCTGCATGCCAAAGGGGCACAACGCGCATGTCAGCTCAGACGTAATGCCAAAACCCAAACACGGCCGGCCAAGGGGCTCTGCCGGGTGGTAGAAGAGGACCAGGAAATTCTCCTTCTGTTATAAGCAATGCGGGGTCAGGGAGATTACACAATGGCCAGAGTTATAAAAAATGAACGTGAATTGTGGCAAAAAGGGTATTATTTTGTTTAGAAAGAAAGAACTGTTTATATTTAAGTGCTTTTGAGAAAAGCTGCTCATTCCCTTCTTTGAGGTCTTTAAAGATGAAGTCCTCGAGTGCCGTCCAGCTCTGTAATATCATAATTTAATCCTCAGTTCTGAACAAAGGAACACTTAATTCAGTGTAGGACATTATCACCAGAAAAATAGTGTATTTAACTGGTAGTTTATGAATGCGGCCTTGGTTAGGAACACTGTTTCCTTGACTTGTTAACTGAGCGACGGTGAGCAAGTTCCCTAACCTCTCTGAATCTGCTTTTGCATCTGCAGGATGCCTTTTTCGGAGGGTGATCACAATGACGAAGTGGTATAATATTTGTAAGCTGTTCAGCACAGTGTCCAGCCCACAGCAAACACTCAGAAGATGACGCTATTATTACCGAGGATTAAATGAAAATTAAATTTAAATGAGCCTTTAGAACAATGCCTGGCCCAGAGTAAGCACTCAATTTTAACTAAAAAGTATGAATTGCAAATGAAATTTTAAAGCCATACAGTTTCTTTATCTTCATGCTGGGGGGGTACTATGGTATTTTAGGAAAAATTTTACCTCCAATTATGCGTCTCTGGGCACATCACTATAACCTCCGCACTTCTGTTTCTTCTCTGGAAAACGCGAGTGGAAGTGGATGAGATGACCACCAATGTCTCTTCCCATCGGAAGGAGGTTCTAGAGGATACCAGAGCTTAGTATACACTATAAATTTATAAAAGCCACTCTAACAAACTCCGGTTACAACCTAAGACAGAACCAGTTACTAACAGTATAAGCCAATTAAAATCTTAAAATTCACACTAGACCTACGGTATAAGGTACTATAAACATGAAAGTCCTTTAATCATTTAAGGACTAACTAAATAATAATTAACTGCTAGATACAGAATGAAAGGCAAACATAGATATTTTAATTTTTATTTTTATATAATTTCCCCTTCATATTCAGAGCAACAAATTATTTTGAGCTTCTTATTCCATATGAATCACAGATACTCAGTCTGAATAATCCCACATCCCACATTTGCGGACTCCAAATTCTGACTGCTTCACCACAGTCGGGAGTCACCAGCCTTCTCTGCAAAGGGCTGGAGAGCAGACACATTTCAGGCTCACTGAACTCAGCCCCTGCAGCACAAGCACAGCCAGCGTGTCAGGGAACGGCTGTGGCTGCATTCCAGTGAAACCTTATTTATGCACACTGAAATTTGAATTTCACACCATTTCCAAGTGCCATGAAATTTTATTATTCTTTTTCCTTTTTTTCAGCCGTTTAAAACATGTAAAAACCATTCTTAGCTTGTGGACTCTACAAAAACAGGCAGGGTGCAGGATTTAGCCGACTGACTGTAGTCGGCCACCCCCCGCAGTAATATATTTTGGGAAAGAACGTGGTAATGTAGGAAATCGGGAATTGGCAGAGTCACCCTCTGGGATTGGCGCTTGGTTGGTGTTTGTCTTGCTGGACTGTTATCATCTGCCGTTCTCCTAAGGGCTTTCGCCACAAGCCAGGGACCCTTCTCAGTCCTAGTGGCAAGGGCACCCGATTTAAGCATAGGTAAGGCAAGCCTGACACCTTGAGGTTGCACTGCAAGTGACAGGCGCCACCCTGGAAGTTAGCAGCAAGGCACATCTCCTGGGAAGGGTGAACCCCAGGGTGGAGGGGCAGCCCTGCAGGCTGAACCCAGCAGTGAGCCAGCGAGCAGCTGTTGTTGTTGTTGTCGGAATGGAGCAGAATAAACTCCAGAGTTCACTATCTGACTTCTCTCTCCAAAGGGCTATCTTTGGGGGCATTTCATTCTATTTAAAAAAAAAAAAATTCCCACAACCTTCTCAACTGAGACCAGAGGGCTCCAAGGACATTCAAGACATTCCCTGGTCCCATTAAGTCCTGCACTTGTAGCCATTAATACATGTGCAGGAGAGGAAGTGGAACTGGGCGCAGCCACTGGGTCCCGCTCCTCTCAGATGCTCACAAAGGGGAATGGAGAAGAAGGGGCTTTAAGAAGCACAGACCTATGATCAAAATGCTACAACAGGCCTCAAACAAAATTGCCTGCCCAGGGCAGACTCTCCCAGACTATTACACCGTTGTGCTGGGATGAAGTGTTCTCCTCAGTTTTGGAAAAGGATTGAAGAGGCCATTTTCTTTCCATTCCCCTGCCTCCAGAAATATTTCCCCAAAACATCCAAGACTTGAGTGGCTCCTATCTTGTAAATTATCCAGGAAAGACAATTCAGCAGTATACTAGGTTGGGGAGTTCATCCTTTTGTCTAATTCACAGCCATCCTTCTGTGTTTCTGAGAGAGTAGAGAGGGGGGACACTGGGAGGGAATTTGTCAGGGCTTCCTCCAGGTTCTGTAGTCGCAAAAGTACTTGTGTGTGTAAGAGCCTCCTCTTTGCAGGAACAAGCCCTGAGCGGCTCACGTGCATGCTGAAGCTCTGGAAAGAGCTCCTGAGAGGAGCTCAATGGGCTAAAAGGAAGCAGGGATGACCTCAACCATCAGTACCCCCAACCTGGCCGGAGAACGGGGTAGCCGGTGGGTAGGTGAGGACTTAAAGGTCCTGATCCCAATGACTCTCCCACACCGACAGCTCAGCTTGGAGCAAGCGCAGTGAGGGGCAACCCCAGAGCCCATACTTAGAGACAGGCCCCTGAATCCAGCCCAGATCTGTGCATTGTCAGGGTGCCACTAAGTGCTGCATTTTGTGGTCTTGAGAGAGGACCGTAGACCACGCCATTCCTCTCTCTCTGGGTTTCAGTCCCCTCTCATCCCAGGGGGAGGTGGCAGTGTGAGACAGAATGAATCAACTCTCATACACATTTGTACCCACAGCTGCGGACAGTGCAGTGGCAGCCCGCCTGCCTGGGCAGTATTCAAGCGGAGTTTTCAGGGCCAGACCTGCAGTTCCTGGAGATCCGGTGCCCTCCTAGCGAAATGCTGACCTTCCCTCTGGGGTGAGTCCGCTTCGCTGCCAACCTCACCCCTGGTAATTTACCGCTGTGCTGAGCTCTGCCTCCGAGGAGGTCGGCCCAGAGTCTTTGGTTGGTTAACCAGGTGGTAATTTTTCCCCCGATCCCTTTGGGTGAGAATGTGGTTTTAGTGGGAAGCATGATTTTTAGTATGACCTTTCCCACCTCCTTCTTTTGCTTTACAATTAAAAGCTCTGGAACCTTCTCCAGAGATCATTCCTCTACACAGTCGGATCTCCAGAGCGACTCTACAAGGATCCGAACGCTGTCGCTGGGGTCAGTGCAGAAGCCTCTTCGGAGGACGTGTCCTGGGCACTTGGCCTTAGAGGAGAGAGACTGGGGCCTCCTCAAAGACTCTGCCTGAAGGGCCAGTACAGCATCGTAGGAGTTAACGTGGGAACGCGCGTAAAGGGAAGGGGGAAAAAGTTGGAGTTGACACTTAAGGGGGGCAGCGGGGAGGGGTGGAGGGTGGGGGGTGGGGGCAGCGGGGGGCGAGTCTCGCTGGCTCCTGATTGGTTTTACATTTCATCCAAAAAATTTTTTTCTCTCCTCTCTCTCCCCCTCTTTTCAGTTTCTCTCTCTGATCCCAGGGGAGGGGAAACGGGAATAGTGAGAGATCAAAAATAAACCTCTTATGTCAAAGCCGGGAAGGAAGTATAAATACGAAGGGCTCGGCAGCCCACTCGGTGCTTCCCGGGGTGGGGAGGAGGCTGGAGGCGGGTGCGCGGGGACGCCGCGCGGGGCAGGGGCGGAGGACCGGCGCACGCGGCCGGGGCGCCAGTTGCTCGCGCTCGGATCGGCGGGCGGGCGCGGGAGGAGCGGGCTGCGCCAGCCCGAGGGGCCGCCGGGGCACCGCCGCCGCCGCCGGGCGCCCGCTGGCCAAGTCGGCCGGCGAGCTGATTGAGCTGCTTTTTGCTGGAGGGAGCGGCCGGGCCGCGCGCGCGCCGCCAGCACCTGCCCGCGCCGGGCCGGCTTCTTCCCTCGCCTGCGCCGCAGCCGGAGCCCCCATGCCCCGCGCCGCCCCCCGGTGGCCGCCGCTCCCGCTGCTGCTGCTGCTGCTGCTGCCGCCGCCGCCGCCGCTCGCCCGCGGGGCCCCGGCCCGGCCCGGCGGCGGGGGGCAGGCCTCGGAGCTGGTGGTGCCCACGCGGTTGCCGGGCAGCGCGGGCGAGCTCGCGCTCCACCTGTCCGCCTTCGGCAAGGGCTTCGTGCTGCGCCTGGCGCCCGACGCCAGCTTCCTGGCGCCCGAGTTCAAGATCGAGCGCCTCGGGGGCTCGGGCGAGGCGGCCGGGGGCGAGCGGGAGCTGCGCGACTGCTTCTTCTCGGGCACGGTGAATGGGGAGCCCGAGTCGCTGGCGGCCGTCAGCCTGTGCCGCGGGCTGAGCGGCTCCTTCCTGCTGGACGGCGAGGAGTTCACCATCCAGCCGCAGGGGGCCGGGGGCTCCCTGCACCAGCCGCACCGCCTGCAGCGCTGGGGGCCCGGGCTCACCGCCGCCGCCGAAGCCCACCCGCTCCCTGGAGGACCCGAGTGGGAGGTGAAGAAGGGAGAGGGTCGGAGGCAGGAGAGAGGAGACGACGAGCTGGAGAAGGAAGAGGAGGAGGAGGAGGAAGAGGGGGGCAACGAAGAGGAGGCAGAAGGCGCCAGCGAGCTGCCACCAACCCTGGGGGCCACGAGTAGAACCAAGCGGTTTGTGTCTGAGGCTCGCTTCGTGGAAACGCTGCTGGTGGCCGATGCGTCCATGGCCGCCTTCTATGGAGCAGACCTACAGGTAGGACTCGCTTTGCCTGGAGGCTCCCGGTCACCTCCCAGAGTCTCCAAATTCTTCCCTTTCCAGTCCCTCTGAGAAAACCCTCCACGTTTCTCACCCTCCAAGATCGACCCCAGACAAGGTTCTTGCCTTTCTGAGAAAGCGCTGTAACTCTTTGCTTAACCTCTGACACCTGGGCTACCTGCTGCCCCACCCCACCGTGTCCCTTCCAATTTAGAGTGGAGGTCCTGGTGCTTCCTCCCCTCTCCTGCTCGCCCCACCCCTCGCATCTTGAATCTCCTGCAGCACTTGTCAAACTGAACTGAAAGTGTTTTAAAGCATCTCCCCCCCCCCCCCCCGGGCACCTGCCTCTCCCAACAGAGATGAAAATTGAACATTTTGGAAGAACATCCACCCCCCCCACCCCCCCCCCACCCCCATTTCTCAGCCCTCTACTGTCTCCAGACCTGAGAGGCTCCCAAGGAAAGGCAGCTGGGATGAAAAGATAGGGCTATTTCGTTCCCTTTGCGGCCAGAACTGAGGTTGCCATAAGTAGAGGACATTGTTTGGAGGGAGCTAAACCTGGAAGGGGGCTGCCCAACTTCTGTGTGCCCAGCTGGTTCTGATCAAGGGGTAAGGACTACCTTGCCAACCTGGCACTCAGCCCTGGCAGAACTTTGTAGTGCCAGCATCAGCACGAGAAGGGAGGGGAACAGAATTTCTGCCTGGGGGCTCAGCCTGGGAAACTGAAACTTCAGTGGAAAAGGGAGGGGAGAAGGGAGTGGGGTATGAACTCAGTTAATATTCCTAGTGGAGCCAGAACTAAACTTGGTCCACCCCAGCTGCTGTCAGCCCAGACACTACTCCCTACCCAGGAAAACTGAGTCGAGGGGACAGCTCCTGTAGCCATAACATTTCTAACTAGATTCAAAGATGGTGCAGACTCAGCAGGAGGTGTCTGTGTCGCCCTATGCCCCAGCAGCTCCCCCAAGGACCAGGTGAACTGTAAGGGTTCCAGGAGAGGGCCGGACTTTCTCTTCCCCTGGGAGCACGGAACCAGAGATGTGCCAGGCAGAGAAGAACTGACCTGCCCAGAGGCCATAGTCCCCTGAAACAGGGATGCTAGCCACTGCTGCAGCTCAGTTGACACTTTTTCAATGATGGCAGTCGTGGCTGGGAGCCCTATTCTAGGCTCAGCCTGTGCCCGACTGTTGGGGACACCAAGTGCTCAGGTATCACTTGTACAGAATAGTCTAGATGAGGCGCAGTCAGCTCTTCTGTTTCTCACCCCATCTTTCTTACTCTGCAGTCACTGGGAAACGCACTCTAGATGGAAGGATGGAAAGAGCTAGGGGTGAGAGGTCCATGTGGCTGCTCCTCTAGCTACTGCAGGGGCCGGTTAAACCCCGGGCAGGCTTCCCTGTGTGCTGTTGTGGTATTTGTTTCTCCCAGAGCATGGTAAGGCAGCTTTGAGCCTTCGGTGCTTCGAAGGCTTCAGCTTTGAGCCCCATGGGCTTTGTGTCTACGCTGATTGAATATCTGTTTCGCTGTCTACTCTGAGAGCAGGCAGAGGCACCAGTCACCTTCTCTGACTCCTTTCCCCAAGCACATCCTCAAGAGGGCGGCAAGTGGGGCTTCTCCCATCTCAGGTCAGGGGCTGACTAGGGGTCTCCACCAGAAAGAAGCTGAAGTGTATTCATTGCAAACCCAGAGATGAGATACTGAGTCCCCCCGACACACACACACGGACCAGTTTCTGACATCTGCCTGAGAACCAGGAGGTAGGAAAGGCAGCAAGAACACAGAGAAGCAACAGAAAAAGTAATTTCTTTTCAGTCTTCAGAGCCAAAATGTCCTCCCTAACACCTTCCTACCATCTACTCTCTCAGCTCATCACCTAGACACTTAAGATACTGAGTATTTGCCTCAAGGACATACTTGGCATCTCCAGATATCAGAGCATCTAGAAGCAGACATGCGTTGGTGCTGGGCTCCAGGATTCCCAGGCCACTAAAGCAGGAGGTTGGGCTGGGCTTGCCCCAGGGTTGCACCAGACAAGTCAGCTTTCTCTTTGCAGAGCCACCCAGGAGCACTTCCACCCTCAAATGACTCCTGGCTGGATGACCAAGCACGTACTTGTGCCATCTCCTCCCTCTCCACATATGCAGGTCTCTGGACCATTCACAGACACACCTCTGCACCCAGCCAACCCACGCAGGTCAAGAGAGCACATCAGAATAGACATCAGGCATCTGTGAAGGCGGTGCCTCTCTCTAAGCATCTACTTCCAGGTCTCACACCTGAAAGAAAAGTCCCCTCTCAGCTCAACCAGCCCCATCACCGCCCCTTGGTCTCATGTCACAGCCCACCTGTGTGTCTGTTGTCATGATGCTGGGTGGGGCAGCAGCTGAGGCACAGCTGTTTCTATGACCGCCTACTGGCCCCTCTGCTCTAACTGCTCACCAGCAGTTCTCAGCTCAGTCCCCTGGGCTTCCCAAACAGGCCCATGAGCCCAGTCAAAAGGAAGTGAATGTCAAGTCCCAGGTCCTCAAGACCTCGCCTGCCCAGACCCATCACCCCAAAATAGGATCCAGCTCTTTATGAGTAACTCTTCAGGGAGGCTCTGCAGACTTCATTCACACAGATGGAAGGTGTTTGGGGTGTCTTAGCAACTGCGGGGTGTGTGGCAAGGATGAAGAGAGACTTTGCCCCCCTCGAGGGCTTGGATTTCCTCCGCTGTGAAGCAAGACACCTGGACCAGGTAATCAATTCGAGTTGAAGCATCTGTGAGACTGCTTCATAATGAGACTTCTGGAAAGTTCAGCACTATGTGGGGAAGCCACTCTCTGAGTGTGTTCAATTTGCAGTGTGGTTTACACATATCACCTCAGTGTAAATACCTGTGAGGGAGGCAGAGGAGGAAGGACATGTGACTTTCTCGTACATGGCTAGTAAGCGGCAGGGCTGGGTGTGCAAGCCGTGTCCGGACCCTGAGCCTACTGCTCTTCTTTCTTGTGCCACGCTGCTGCTTCAGCACGAGGAGGCTCTGCAGCTCTGTGCCTCTCTCACCCCCGACACTGGTGTGTGTTGTGGGAACAGGTCCTTGAATCCAGCAGTCCAAAGATGCCCAGCCAAAGCGGGAGGCCCTCCACCTTCAAGGCCTAGAGAAAGAATCAGCTGTGCTCGAGGCTGGTCTTACCGCTAAGTGACGATGAAGTTTTCCAGAACTCGGTACACTTGAGCTCACTTAATCCCTTGACAGAAGGGGCCCCTGCCTCCCACCTTCTTATCTGGTTTCAGAGTTAAGGAGCTTAGACAAAGGGGGCTTTCTGAAAGGAGGGACCACCTCGGAAGAGACCATTAACTCTGTCTGCATCCGGCCACTGCTAATTGTTCCCTGGATGAAACTGGAGCAGGAAAGGAGCGAGTGGTGGCTGAGCAGTGCCACACACTCAGTCTGGGTAAATCTGTCCTGCCAGTATATGAGCTACAAGCCGGGCTTCTGGACTCTCTGCTTAGCAGAGAGGGTCCTAGGAGTGGCACTGATAGTCTCCTGTCTTCACTTGCGAAAGACAAGTGTTACATACGTGTGCATTGTGTTCTCCCGCTGGCAAAAGAATGAGTCTGCTGCAGTCAGAATGATCAACAATATGAAATATTTCCCAAGGAAAACGCCTTAATATCCAAAGGCCTTTGATTGGCCACTTGACCTCCCCTACAGTGCAGGGGGTGGGGGTACATAGACAAGGGTTCAGGTCTGTTTTGGCGGTGCTGTAGTTTTCCTCACAGCAGCAAAGACGGGTAGCAGTCAGTGTGGTGATTAAGAGCATAGACTTTGAAGGGTAATAGAAATAGCTGAGTGTCGTTGAGCATGTTACCGATTTCTCTGTGCCTTACTTTCTTCACCAGCAGAATAGGAATAGTTATACCAATGTCCTAGTGTTCTCTTGAGGATACAATAAAATATGGAAAGCACCTGACCCAGTGCCTGGGGCAGAGTAGGTGCTCCACAAAGCCTGATTGATAGCAGAGTTGTCTTCAGTGATGGCATTTGACAGAGTAGGAGGGCATTGTGGTCACACGCCCTCACACCAGCCACTGCTGTGCCCGCTCTGCTGTCCCACGCGGCAGAGAGCCCTACCTTTCAGCTTGCTCAGCTCGACTTCTTGTGGTTCTGGTAAGAATGTGCTTTGGAGAGGTGGCCCACCCCCTGCTGTTTGGAGAACAAGGAGAGGTGAATAACATCATGCTGGACCCTCCCCCCCTTTTCTCCTCTTGCTTCTTTCCCTCTTCCTTTGCTTCCACCGCACCACCTTCCCAGCACAGGCTCAGGCCCCAGAGAGATACCCGGAAGGACCAGTAATGGCGCCCGTTGCTGGGGTCAGAGGGTTTCCATGTTCCCACTCTTCCTCTCCTTGCCTCTCCCAGGCGTGCTGCAAGGAAACGTGGTAGGACCCACAGTGTGAAGAGCAAATAGCAAAGCGTAAAGGATGACGTTCTGAGCAGAGGGAGCTGCTGGAAATGCGTCTGGCCCGGGCCCAGCCTTCCCCGAGACTCCCACCATAGGCTGCTTTGGCTGCCACGGGAGCTCTGGGGGAGGAATCTCCTTGTTTGTAGGTCAAAGAGTCAAAGAAGGCTCTGTCCTGGCCGGGGCATTTGTTCTCTTTTCCAGGTCCTGGGGGCGCCAGTGGAGAAGGAGACTCCCAAAAATGTCCTGGCTTTCCCTAATGAGAATTAAGGGCGTGGGATCCCCAGCCATTCAGGAGCAGGGTTGCTTAACCACCCTTGGCCAGGCTGGTCATGGTCTCCGACCTACCTGACGTGGTTGTTGGAGGTTGCCTGCTGGGCTGGGGCTCCCACTCCACCAGGGCCGCAATCTCCTTCACATACTCCAGCAAGCAGCCTACACTGTATGGTGCGTAGGAAGGTATAAATAGACACCAGGTAGTGGAGCGAGCCATCTAACCTTCTCCCTGACCAGCCCCTGAGCCAGCTTTCTGTGGGACTGTAAGTCAGGCCTGCCCTTTTGGCCCAGGGGATTGGCTGAGAATCGAAGGCTCACAGACTCATGGCCACCCACCCCTCCAGGCCCAGTGGTCCTTCCCCCTAGGGCACTGTAAGATGCACTGCAAATGTCAGGCATTCCTGCCACTGTTTCCCAGAGGACCTAACGGTGGGGATGGTGGCGTTTCCTGTCTCCAAAAGCTCAGTGAGACAAGAGAGAAGGGGAGGTAAGTGGGACCAGGATTTGGGATTTGAAAAGAAACACTGCACCGCATAATCCTTGGAGCCCTCTTGCAATAGAAATTATCTCCTGAGATAGCAGCCAGAAGGACTTTGAAATGTCCTCAAGTCTAACCCACAGCCTTGAAGGACAGTGGCTCTCAAGCCGGCTCAGCCTGACAGTTATTCAGCGTCTGGAAGAGATGATATGAGCTCCCTGATCTGCAAAGGAGACTCCCTGAAGACCTTAGTGTTGGGAAGCCCGATGCCTCACCCGATCCTCATGCAGCAGTTTGCACCCATGTGCCTTTGGTTTTCACTGGGGACATGGCCGTTGCATGGTCTCTGCTCACCTGCATTGCCTTAGAGTCAGCTCTGGTCACTGTGGGAAGGCAGGCCATTCTTAAACCTCAAGTCTTCAGTTCCTTATCTTGAGCCTTCTGGGACCGTGCTGAGCAACTGACATCTCTTGTCTTCATATCTTCTTTGTAAGACATCATCGCCCCCATTTTGAGATTGCGAAGTTGGGATTCAAAGGGAAGAAATCTTGTGAGGACGGTTGCAGGTTGCCTCGGAAGAAATTCCAGGGGTTGATCCCAAGCCCATCAGCCCCTGGCCCTTCCTAGGGCAAGAGACCGGGAGACTCTTTCTGCCCCTGGAAGCAGTGAAGACCTGGCCAGGAAGGAGCCTCAGCAAGCTACCATTCTTCAGCCCTCACCCCCAGTTGCATAATGATGTGATTGCTTGTTTCCCTCAGGAATCCAACTCCAGAAGCAAGTGCCAAGTTTCAGCTTTGCTGATAAGATGTTTACATCAGCCTAAACATAGCTGGAGTGCTTGACATGCTAAATAACCTGCCAACCCCTGTTTGTAGGGCTTACAAAATAGCTGGCTTGTTGCCTGCGAGGTGAACAGACAGATCCCATTCACAAATAATGGGATTCGTCTGGAACTCCCACACATGGCCTCTGCGGATGGAATGTCCCTATCTAGCCTTTCACCCCCCCTTTTGCCTCCTTCCACTCCCACCTCCAGACCACAGGAGGGAAGAAAGAGAGGCTACAGGAGGTGTTGCCCTAGGGAACAGGGAGCAGGGCAAGTAGGTGGCAGTTCGGCTGGCCATACTCCTGACTGAAGGAGGATGTGCCTCTGCCCCTTTGTCTCTGCTTCTGCAAAGTAACCCAAGAGGACTCACTTCTGGAGGTGCCTGAGGCTGGAAAGTGAGCTCTGCCTGGCTGCCTCCAAAGCTGTGGGAGCAGTTGGCAGCCCAGGGATGGGACAGAGGCCAAGCGATGACATAGACTCCTTCAGCGGATGGAACTAAGGGCAGGTGTGATCCTCAGCGCCTGGCTCTCATTAGGCCCACTGGATTCTCTCAAGCCCCAGGCAGAAGGGAATAAACCCTTTGGGGCTGTCCAGGCAGAAACCAGGAGGCCAAGCACTGGGAAACTTAATGAGCAGAATGTGGACCTAGGAGACAGACGCGCCTGGCCTGTCATCTGGCTTTAAGAGCAATGTGACCTTAGACAAGTTATCTGACCTGTGGGAACCTCCACTTCCTCATTCATAAAATCGGGATTACAATACCTACTTCACAGAGTTATTGTGAACATTTAATGAGGGGACGTGTAAAGTGGGGGCCCTGTGGCTGTGGAGTAACCATTGTTAGTAGTCACTATTAGAGCAATGTCTTCGGCATTAACAATTCCCATCCTGAAGAGTGGAGATTACCCCAACGGACATCAGGAAAATGCTCGACTGGATTCTAAGAGGGAAATTCGACTAACCTTGAGCACTCAAATCATTGCTTCTGGGCTGAGAACAGGGCGGGCACGGGAGTAGCTGGCAGGGAGACAGTTGGTGTCAAGGTTAAGGCAGAATAACCAGTGCAGTGCAATAGAACTTTCTGTGACAGTGGAAACGTTCTGTCTGCTCAGTCCAAATCAGTAGCCACGAGCCATAGATGGCTATTGACGCACTTGAAATGTGACCAGTGTGACAGAGGAACTATAATTTTAATTTTATTGAATTTTAATTAATTTAGATTTACATAGCCACGTGTGGCTGGCCTAGATGTGAAAAGCTTTGGAGCCAAGCAGTCTGGGTTCAAATGCTGGCTGTACATGTATCAGCTTTGTGATCTTGGGCCGGTTACCGAGCCTCGATTTTCTTATCTGTAAAATAAAGAGAAGTAATTCCAGATGTTTTAGGGCTTTTGCGAATCTTCATCGAGATGCTGTCTGTCAAATGCTCAGCACAGAGCCTGGCACACGGGGTGCCTAAGAAGGAGTGGTGGCAGTAGGCAGGCAACAGGCCAGGAGATGGAACCCTTCACTCTGCCTGTTCCCTCCTTCTTGACAGAACCACATCCTGACGCTGATGTCCGTGGCAGCCCGCATCTATAAGCACCCCAGCATTAGGAATTCCATCAACCTGATGGTGGTCAAAGTGCTGATCGTGGAAGATGAACAATGGGGCCCCGAAGTGTCTGACAACGGGGGGCTGACGCTGCGCAACTTCTGCAACTGGCAGCGGCGTTTCAACCAGCCCAGCGACCGGCACCCAGAACACTTTGACACAGCCATTCTGCTCACCAGACAGGTCTGTGGACTGGCTCCAGAAACCCCACGGAGGAAGGGAGGCGGGATGGGCGGATCAAAGGGAGGACCGCTAGGCCTGCCCAAACATGGGAAATGTCTGCCTGCTGGCCCCAGCTGGACACCAGGAGCCTCGTGTGTGCAACTATGAGGAGGAGGTCATGAGGACAAGTGTGAGGTATTTGCAAGGGAAGGCGAAGAATCTCATAAGGGCTCTTTTCCAAAAGTTTGTGACCAGCTGTCTGCTGAGGTCATAACAAGAAGAAATGGGCTCAGACTGCCCAGTGAGAGATCTGGAGATGGAATTAAGAGAGGAGGTCCATCTTCACGGTTCAGGAGGCCTACCCACTGGTGTGATTTAAACAGGCAGCTTCCTGAAGTCTAGAGAGTGTAATAATGTATGCCAGGCCCTGTTCACTCCTCAGTCCTCACAACGACCCCACAACGTGACTGCCCTTAGCCCCATTTTGCAACTAGGGAAACTGAGGCGCAGAGCAGCCACCAGTGGCAGTGCTGAAAGTCAGTCCCAGGAGTCCTGCTGCAGGGTCAGAGCTCTTAGTCATATGCTGTCCTGCCTCCCAAGTCCTGGCTGGCCCTAGGACACACTGACGTAGAAAGAGAAACGTGCTTCCTCACACGGTGGCCTATGTGAAGAGATAGGGCGTTTGGCTTTGAAAGTTTCCTTCCACTCAGGAGGAGCAGGGACAGGAAGATTTTCTGCTCTGTGTCTGTTTTCATGCCCTCGTTCTCTCCGCCAAGCAGAACTTCTGTGGGAAGGAGGGGATGTGTGACACCCTGGGCGTGGCGGACATTGGCACAATCTGCGACCCCAACAAGAGCTGCTCTGTGATCGAGGATGAGGGGCTCCAGGCAGCCTACACTCTGGCCCATGAACTAGGTAAGACCTGCCGTGCCCGAACCCACTCCACTGTGTCAGAGGGACCGCCTCTTCCAAATGCAGCTGGCCCAGAGTCTGAGGAATGAATATCAGCCTGCAGACTTAGCCAGTTTCCCCTCATAATTCTGACAGAGTGATCTATGCAAACAGATGCTGTGCTTTCTCCACTCCCACCCTGAACATAAGGCCAAAACGTTAAAATAGTGTCCTGGACCATCATCAGAGGTCACCAGGAAAATGCCAGAACGTGAAACAAATGCTCTGGTAGAGTTGTGATGCCGTATCTAAGCTAAGCAGTAACAATTATGGGAATATCCATTGTAAAGAGAGTGCTTTGTAAGCAAGCGAATAATTGAGGTGAACATGAATTTAGGACAGGCTGAGGCAGAAAATAAAGGGACATCCGTGTTCCTTGGTACTCTGAGAAAGCTTCCTGGAGGAGAAAAGCCCAGGGTGAAGTCTGAAAAAGAAATCTTTAAGGAACGAGGGGGTGGCAGTTCCCATGAGGAGCTAGTGACTGGTGGAGTTTCGTGTCAGCAGAGTGTGGTTCTCTCAAGAGAGAAAGAAGGGGGGACGGCACTGGACCACGGGGGAGCCCTCAGGGCAGGGTGGGGCGGGCTGGAGAGCTGCGGAGTGGTTGGGGCGGACTGTGGGTCTCTCCATTCCCAGGGCATGTCCTCAGCATGCCTCACGACGACTCCAAGCCCTGCACGCGGCTCTTTGGGCCCATGGACAAGCACCACATGATGGCGCCCCTCTTCATCCACCTCAACAAGACGCTGCCTTGGTCTCCCTGCAGTGCCATGTACCTCACCGAGCTCCTGGACGGCGGGCACGGTAGGCGTCCCTCAGGCTTCCCCCTGCTGCTCCTGCCAGCTGCCCGGCTGGACTCTGCCCTGAGGCCCCCTTAGACTGCTGACGGCACCTACACTGTTGGCAGCTGTGCGCCATCACAGAGCATCGCAGACATTTAGCATCAGAAGAGACTGGGGACATGTTCCTCACTCAGCCTCCCGTGCATTACAACCATTCCCACGAAGCATGCTCTGCCTTGCCCCATCTCTCAGTTGCCTGAGTTCTGGCTAATTTCGATTATTAGTGACAAAGTGGGTGGAATCAGTCTGAGAAGGTTTGTCTGGAGGAGGCGGATTTGAACAGAGCTTGAAAGAATGGAAGAATGTTTGTAGTAGAGGAAAGAAGGGCGATCACTCATATGATAGCTTAGAAATGGCAGAGGCAGGAAGAAGTCGTGGGAGAGCAAGTGGGGCAGGCCTCGTTAAAAGTTTGACTTAAGTAAAGCAGCAAAAACGCAGTTTATTCCTGATTCTTCTCATTTGAAGGAGGCAGGGACACATATGGTAAAATAATGTGGCAAAAATAGTAGATTATCCAAACATCAACACTTTGGTTTATTTTGCATGCCGTGTTTTTAAGAGCCCATTTACGTCCCCCCATCGTATTGTGACATAGATTAGTAGTATAATTAGCTGGCATTCCCTAGGTGCACACTGAATGCATATAAGATGTTCTGGATAACAAAAGAAATTCAACCCTAAAAAGAAAAAAATTTGCTACTGATTGTCAACAACTGGATAACCTCTCTATAGACGTTTAAGTGTTGACAGTTTTCAGACTGACAAGGAAACCGTGACGTCTAGACCTTAAACCCATCAACAGGAATTTATGTGTAACGTGGGAGGCCATGGAGAGCTGAGAGACGGAACCCCTGTCCCTTATTCTTGTTCCTCTGCTTCCTCCATTTCTCAGGAGACTGTCTCCTGGACGCCCCCACCTCGGCCCTGCCCCTCCCGACAGACCTCCCAGGCCGCAGGGCCCTCTATGACCTGGACCAACAGTGCAAGCAGATCTTTGGGCTGGGCTTCCGCCACTGCCCCAACACCTCTGCGCAGGACATCTGCGCCCAGCTCTGGTGCCACATGGATGGCACAGAGCCCCTTTGCCACACGAAGAACGGCAGCCTGCCCTGGGCTGACGGGACGCCCTGTGGGCCTGGGCACCTCTGCTGGGATGGCAGCTGTCTGCCTGAGGAGGAAGTGGAGAGGCCCAAGGTGAGGGACAGCCACTTGGGAGGGTGGGGGAAGAGGGTGGGAGGTGGGCTGTTTCCAAGGAGGACACTACGCTCGAGACCCACAAACTCAAAGACTTGGAGCCAGGCTGCAACTATAACTTCTAAGCAAAATCACTCATCTTTTAACAAACAAAGCAAAGCATATTTATCCACACACGAGAGGAGCCCTTCAAGGCTGTCCTCACAGCAGACGGAACATGTCACCTGTTCTCTGGGTGTTTGGGGAACTCCCCCTTTGGAATTGTTTTGGAGTTGACTTGAGGCCTCGTGAGAATTGGTGATAGGCGTGGAACACTCCAGCACCAAGACCAGAACGTGGGCATTCAGTAAATGGAAGCCATAATGAATTCTATTATAAACAGATAGAGCGACAGCAGAAGAGGAGCATTCCATCAAGAACTGAGGGAAAAGCATTCAGATCCTACCATGTCTGAGCTGAATGCATAATTAGAGGTCAGGAGCATGAGAGTAATTTGGGGATTCCATACTCAAAACGGAGGAGGGGAGGAGGAATCAGAACCACCTCTGAGCAGGCAGAGAAAACTTGGCCCAGGACAGAGTAAACTTGCAAAAACCAAGGCAATGCCAGGGAGAGTTTTAAATGATTCACTTCTTTGCCCTGCTCTTAATACTTCTAAACTATGAGGCTGCTCACATTTCTTTTACTGCGAGTCACTGAGCCATCTCTATGAAACAGCATCCGCTGAGTTTCGCAGCCTGGTCCCGGCCCAGCACTGAATCACCAGGGTGGCCTGAACACTGTCTCCAGAGGGCTGTCCTCAGTGGCGTGTCCTTTGCACTGAGTCTCAGGAGCCTGCCTGGGCCAAGTGAGCCACACACTCTAAGCCTGAGCCAGCGCAGGATTCTCGGATTCATCCTCAGCCACCTCCCAGCCTCCCCACTCGGACGCTGAGCTTCTCTCCTAGGTCCCGACCCTCTCCTGTAGCCTGAGCTTCTCGTGTTACCGAGGGGAGAGGAGGGCGTCCGTCCAACGTTCCTCAGCACCAGAGCCAAGCTCCGTGCGGGAGAAGTTGATGTGGGATGATCATGGGATGATGTTTATCATCTATTTTTAATGGGAAAAGACAGATATAAAATACTACATACATGACAGTCATATCTGTGTAAAACAACACCACATTTTTATGATTATATATTCAGAGCAAAAGCATGAGAGGATATTGATGAAAATCATATCAATGGTTTTATCTGGGTAGTGGTATTTTTTGTGTGTCACTTTCTTTTTTACACGTTTCTGTATTTTTCAATTTTTGTGTGAGCAAATATTACTTTTTTATTTTTTTCATTTTGAAAACTCTGTGCACCCACTAGGCCCAAAGCTTTATTCTCACAGGCCAGTTATAAAGTTGGAAGCAACTCTGTTCATGTCCCGGCATTGTCTTCCCACAGGAACTGTAGCTGTAGATAGTGGCAACACCTCCCAGCCATTATTCCTTTAGACCAGGACTTCTCGGCCTCAGCGACATTTTGGGCTGCATAAGTCTGGTTGTAGGGGGCTGTCTTGCTCACTGTTGGATGTTCATCCTTGGATGTTTAGCAGCTGCCCTGTCCTCTACCCACTAGAGGCCAGCAGCACATGCCCTCCCCAGTTGTGACAATCAACATAGCTCCAAACATTGCCAAATGTCCCCAGAGGACAAAACTGGCCCCAATGGAGAACTGCTGCGTTAGAACAAATCTTATTCCCATAAAAGAATTTCATTCAGGGACCGGCCCTGTGGCGTAGTGGTTAAGTTCGGTGCACTCCACTTCAGCAGCACAGGTTCACAGGTTCAGATCCTGGGCATGGACCTACACTACTTGTCAGCCTTGCTGTGGCAGTGACCCACATATAAAGTGGAGGAAGATTGGCACAGATGTTAGCTCAGGGCTAATCTTCCTCAGCAAAAAAAAAAAAACACGGAAAAGAGTCTCACTCAACAACTAATATTGAGCACCTCACTAAGAGCAAGGCACTGTGTTAGACCCTGGAGGGTCAGTACTGAGCAAGTCCAGCACAGCCTGTGTTCACAAAGCCGACAGAGTCATTAAACAAATGATTCAGGCAGTTCACTGAGCTCCGTGCACCAGGATGAGCATGACTAGATGAGGAAGTCAGGGCCCTGGGCCCCTGTCACACCCAGAGCTGAGGCCTCCTCATCTCTGCTCCTGACTCAGGGTGGCCTTGTGTGTTGCAGACTGTGGTAGATGGAGGCTGGGCCCCATGGGGACCCTGGGGAGAATGCTCCAGGACCTGCGGAGGAGGAGTCCAGTTTTCACACCGTGAGTGCAAGGACCCTGAGCCTCAGAACGGAGGAAGATACTGCCTGGGTCGGAGAGCCAAGTATCAGTCATGCCACACAGAGGAATGCCCCCCTGATGGTAATCGCCACTTATGGCCACACCTTGCTGCAGCAGATCCCCAGAGGAGGTGGAGGGTGGGTCTCCTGGGATGCAGAGCTCTCTCCTGTGATCCAGACATCAAGGGGCTCTGCGAGGTAGCAAGTTTCAGGGCAGCCTTTAGCGACCCGGGACACTGCTCACTGTGCTGGGAGAGCATGGCAGAGTCAAGGAGAGAAATTGCCCTGGTCTTCCAGGACATGGAGATAGAGTATGTCACTCCTAACCAAATTTATTCGGTGGAAGGAGGGAGGGCTTTTCAGAGGGGCTGGCGTCTAGGATAATAATCCTCCTGGAGGCATATGAACCCTCGCCTGTGTACAGGGTGGAAGTCTTTTCCAAAGCAAGTGTCAGAGCCAAACCTCCAGTGTCTTTCCAGCCAAGAGTCAGCCCAGGGCGGAGGGAGGATTTCTGAATCTGATTCTAGTGCACATTCCTTCTGAGAAGAGTTGCCCATCTTCCCTTGGGGCTGTGGCAACTGCCTGACAAACCTTCCCAGGAAGCAACACCGCCTCTCCCTCCCCTTGGCAGATTCCTAGCCCCTAGTACCAGCTAGAAAGCACACATGTTAACTAAGGGGCAGTAGGCGCAGCAGCAGAACTGGCGAGAAGGATCATTCGAAGTTTCCCCACCATCCCATCCAGCTCCTCTTTGTGCAGCTCTGGGAAGTACTGGCAGGCAGCAAAAGATAAGGGAGCTTTCCAAGAGATTCTTCCAAGTGCAGAGACACACTGGCATTGGGCTGGTGTCTAATGGGTATCTGTAGGCTTTGTAGTTTTGCAAGACGGGAAGGATCAGCAATGGCATGAGGCTCTAGAAACCTTGCCCTGGAATTGAGAGAGTTTGCCTGGCATGCAAGGTGACATGTTCCTGGGGAAGAGAGAGAGAGAAAGGGGAGGGGAACGAGTATTAGGTACAAGGTAGACATGGACAATCGGCGATATCGTGATTGCAGACGCACCAGGTCCGCCATCGCAATCAACAAGTGTGTTTAGTGCCTCTTGTGTGGCTAGAACTGTGCTAGATGTTATAAATGACATAAAAATGCACAAAGCATGGTCTCTGTCCTCCAGGAACTTGCAGTCTAGTGAGAGATCCAAAGCCCTTTTACAATGCAATTAAAGCTTAATCTATGAGGCACAGACCCCAGGCTTACGAGGACTTCAGCACAAGGAAAAGCCTGGGCTAATCAGAAGCTTCAGGGGGAGTTAGGGCCAAGCAGGGCCTGGAGGATCGAGATGGTGATGAGGAGGCTAGGTGGGGAAGGATTGAGAGGGCCTTCGAATCACCCAGATGGAGTCAAGCAAAAGGTACTAGCATTTCTAGGCCAGAGCACAAAGGTCCTTGGAAGCTAACATGGTATCTGGGGGTCTCTGTGCCGGCTGTCCCATCAGGTCACCTGGGAAGCTTTTCCAAACACAGAGGCCCAGGTTCCTCAGATGTACTGAAATCAGAATCTCAGGAATAGGGCGCGGCCATCTATGTTTTGAAAAATCTCCACAGGCCATGCAGATGCACAGCTAGAGTGGAGAACCTCAGTAAGAGTAGGCTTAATTTCAGGATGATGGGAAAACAAAAACGAAAATGAAAATAACCATGTCTTACTTCAGACAGATTGTTCTGGAAGCAGCATGCAGCAGGATGGGAGAGGAGGCAGGCTGTGTGTAGGAGGCTGGGCGCTAGGTCTCGCATGAATCTGCAAGGCCTGTGCTGGTGTGAGGTGGACTGAGATGGTGAGAGTGGGATGGAGACATTGAATATAGTCCTGATTGTCCTGGCTTAATGACAGGTTAGAAATAGTGAATGTAGATGCTCAAATGTTCAGAAGATACCAGGATTCCAGTCTCAGGCTGGAATATGATGGCATCGCCAAATGAAAATCAAACCAGCTCATGGAGGAACCATATGGAGTTGGGGTTCCCTGAGCTGGAGGTAACTGCAGTACCGACAAATGGAGCTCCCCCATAGACACCCAGAATTACTGCAAGTTGGGCATAGGAGCAAGATCAGAACCAGAGACGCAGATCTGGGAGTCTTTGACCACATATCCAATGTCACCAAGAAAGTCAAGATAAAGCACAATTAGCATAGGCCCAAAAATATAACTCCATGTGTCACCCATGCCTCTCAAGCTTACTGAATTGTCCCCTGTTCCTCCCTGAGTTTATTCATCTGTAAAATAGAATTAGTATCTTCTCCAATGGAAAGGATTTTATCCCAGAAAGCCCAACTGAGGCTGGATGCTCCTATCCTTGCCTCTATGAGTGAGGGTCACACGTGGACCTAGGTCACATGTGTCTAGGAATGTAGGGCCCAGGTGACACAGGACCAGTGTCCTGGGGTTGAGTCAAAACCAGGAGGAAGAGAGGTGCCCTGAATCCCGGCGTTCTCCAGCTGGGGCTGCCTGCCTCAGTGCAGCACGTTGACTCCATGCCGTTTCTCACTTTCTTTAGGGAAAAGCTTCAGGGAACAGCAGTGTGAGAAGTACAATGCCTACAATTACACAGATGTGGATGGGAACCCCCTGCAGTGGGTCCCCAAGTATGCAGGGGTGTCCCCCAGGGACCGCTGCAAGTTGTTCTGCCGAGCCCGGGGGAGGAGCGAGTTCAAGGTGTTCGAGGCCAAGGTGAGAATCCTTCTGGAACTCAGGCCCCCTGGCCCGACCCCACCATGGGCTGCCTCTGTGCTCACCACACCCTCTCTTACCTTCCCTTTCCCGGCTGCAGGTGATTGACGGCACCCTGTGTGGGCCGGAGACTCTGGCCATCTGTGTGCGTGGCCAGTGTGTCAAGGCTGGCTGTGACCACGTGGTGGACTCACCTATTAAGCTGGACAGGTGTGGGGTGTGTGGGGGCAAAGGCAACTCATGCAGGAAGGTCTCTGGTTCCCTCAACCCCTCCAGGTGAGTCTCCCGGGCAGTTCTGTACCTCAGTAGCAGAGTGGACCGGGCTTTGGAATCACACTGGCCTAAGTGTGAATTGTGACTGCTACTTGATACCCCTGCAGTATTGAGCTGCAGTTTCTTTGTGAAGCATCTGCAGTCCTCTCTATCTCAGAGTCACTGTAAGGAGTCATGAGAGGGACAGAGTACTTGGCAGAGGGTCTGGCCCAGAGAGGATGGCGCACAGGACAGCCAGAGGCCACATGGATAGGGATGTACCATCTCTGAGTCAGTCAGCAATGGAGCTACCCTGCATAACCAGGACCTTTGCCAGAAAGCAGCTCTTTCAGGCCTGTTTTGGGAAGGACATCTTACCTTACAGCTGACGAGTCCTGTCCTTGCTACAGGTGGATCTTCAGAAAAGGCGGTACAGAAAAGGGGAGCCTTGGCAGCCTCAGTGCTTTCATGAAACTGAGAACTCCGGAAGCTCTCTCACACCTTAGAGCTGCACGTTCATAAAGCTCCTAGTATCTGTTTAAGTGCTTTCACGTCTGTGGCCTCATTTGATTCTAAAATAAGTCTATCAGGTGGGCAAGGCCAATACTATTATTCCCCATTTACAGGTGAAGAAACTAAGGCACAAAACGATGACATGACTCTTCTCAGGTCACATTGAGAGTTAATGACAACCAGGAAGAGAATCCAGGCTTCTGAATTCCTGGGCTCTTTTTTTTCCTGCCATTGCACGCATTTCCTAGACAGGAAGGTCAAGAGCATGCATGCATTCTCATCAGGTTCAGAGAACAGAATCAGCCTACAGCAGACCACTTGGGAATCTTTTCAAATTTAAACTCCCAGGATATAGAAAAAAGCAGCATGGCGTGTGGGGTATTCAGATCCTGGTCCCTTGGCTGGCTTGCTTTCGGCATTCGACACATGGGCCCAGGGATGCTTTCACAGCTGCCCTAGACTGAGTGGCTGGCCCGGCGGGGCGTCAGGCCAGTATAGCGAGGGACTGATGCTCCTCAGCAATCCTCATCACTTTCTTCCCAGCCTAAGTAACTCAAACACTTTTACCCCAGAGGAGAAGAAGAACTAAGGTTTCTCCATCCCACATAAAGCCCCAGACCTACAATATAGTTGAACATTTTCCCCAAACAGCATCCTATCCTCGCAGAAAAACACAGCTCATGGTGTCTGGGCACAGCCAGCAGAGGCTCCACGGAAGCGGGCTTTACCTGGTTCCTGCCCTAGAGCCATAGTAACCAAATGCTGGGAACTGACGGACTCTGCGAGGTGGAGTGGGATGTCTGTTCTGGTTGGATTCTGGAACAAGCGTGTGGAACAGATTTTCCTACATGGGTTTGAGCTCTGGGTTTGGAAGTGGCCAAGCGAAGTTTTATACCAGTGCAAGGAACTAAATGTGTTTGTGATCTCAAATATTTGAGTCAAGAGCTGCCAGGTTTGGCAGCACTGACACAGCTTTTCAAACCCCTCTGGGCTGCCTTCCTCTCTGGGCTGTTATTGTCAAGATCCACACATCTAAACTCCAGACCTTTGAAACAGAGTTGCCAGGCCAAGCAAAAACCCTTGAAAATCCCAACACACAAAATATTCCTGTCCACCTCAGCAGCTAATTTGTTTGGGATTTTGGGGCAACTACTTAATTATTTGCTAGTGGTTTTTGTCTGCCTACCTCCAGTCACCAGCATGCTAACTTCCTGAGGCACTGGGCTGGGTAGCCACTGATCCTAAGGATCTCTTTTTGTTCCTATCATAGTTATGGCTACAATGACATCGTCACCATCCCAGCTGGTGCCACTAACATTGATGTGAAACAACGGAGCCACCCAGGGGTCCAGAATGATGGGAACTACCTGGCACTGAAGACCGCCGATGGGCAGTACCTGCTCAATGGAAACCTGGCCATCTCTGCCATAGAACAGGACATCTTGGTGAAGGGGACCATCCTTAAGTACAGTGGTTCCATTGCCACCCTGGAGCGGCTGCAGAGCTTCCGGCCCCTGCCTGAGCCTCTGACCGTGCAGCTCCTGACTGTCCCTGGTGAGGTCTTTCGCCCCAAAGTCAAATATACCTTCTTTGTTCCTAATGACGTGGACTTCAGCATACAGAACAGCAAAGAGAGAGCAACCACTAATGTCATCCAGCCCCTGATCAATGCACAGTGGGTACTGGGGGACTGGTCTGAGTGCTCGAGCAGCTGTGGAGCTGGCTGGCAGCGGCGGACTGTGGAGTGCCGGGATCCCAACGGCCAGGCCTCTGCCACCTGCAACAAGGCTCTAAAACCTGAGGATGCCAAGCCCTGCGGAAGCCAGCCGTGCCCCCTGTGATGCAGTGGGGAGGAGGCCAGTCTTGTGCTCACGGACTTGGGGTGCTGGGGTACAGACCAAGGTCCCCACTATGGTGACCCTACCTGTGGAGGTGGCATGGCCTACTCAGGCCTCCCATTGTCACAGTCCCTGCAGTTTGGCATGAATTTCTAAGGGACAAAAGAAGAGAGGATATGGACAACAGTTTCTAAAGTCTACTATCTAGCGGATCGGACCTTGCTTGGGTTCAAGTAGAGGGCTTAGGTTAAAAGGTAAAAAGCGCGCTTATTGGCCCAAACAAGAGACTCAGTCAGCCTGTTTGCAAAGGACTAGCAAAGTTAAATGAAAAAGAAATTTTCTTCTGTTTGGTCTCCCCGATAAATAATCTACCTCAGAGGGGAAAAAAATCTGTAAAGGAGAGGTGTGGAGCAGGGGTCAATGGGGAATGTCAAAGCAAGCTCCCAACTGTGCCCCGAAGCTGTCTTCAGGACTGACCCTGACTGTCTCCAGTATTAAAATCCATTGCCTGAAGGGCTGCGGAGTGGCGGCATTGTGGAGGGCCACATGTTCTCAGGCTTCCACCTGCAGGTGGATCCGTTTCAAGTATTTATGCAAATGTGTCTCCGAACTAAAGTGTGATCTTGTGCCAATGTAGTGGTCTGATCTGGTTCAATATTTCTTGAAAAACGGCAGGGGACCCAGAGCCCAAGAACAGAGGCTAAAACCAAGTCAGCTCACCTTGAACACACACAGGGAAGCTGGCATCTTGCCTGAGTCTCTTCAGGCCTTCCCCTTGAGGTCTCATACGCATGCTGAATTCAGGTCATTCAGGCCCTCTTTGTTTGCATAGTCTAGACCGGTGGTTCTCAAACTTTAGCAGGCATTAGGATCATCTAGAGGGCTTCTTAAAACACAGATTGCTGGGCTCCACCCCAAGAGTTTCTGATTCATTGGGTTGTAGGGGGCCTGAGAATCTGCATCTCTAATGCATCCCCAGTGATGTGGAGGTTGCTGGTTTGGGGGCCATGCTTTCAGAACCACTGCTCTAGTGGAAACTTCCAACTTGGACGTAACAATGGTTATTTAATGACCAGGCTCATCGTTCTGGAGAAAGGCTATCCCATTCCACTCTGCATACATCCCCATCCTCACTGTTACATACTGACCAGCCAGAGATACCAGATTCTCTTGGATCTGAGGAATGCTGAACCTGTAGCTAAGTAACCTCATCCCAGTGAGCTCAGCTCCTCTCCACACCGAGTTTCATCTCCATCACACAACTCTTTTGGCCCCACAAACTTGCAGCTGTCCAAAGCAGCCCCTTTTCATAGAACAACATTCCCCACCTGCCACCTGAAACCTCCCTGAGAGCCTCCACCATCGTATCTTCGCTCCAGATCTCCTCCTCTCTTCCTGGCCAGACGAGGTCTCTGGCTCGATCTTCCATGTGATCTGGTGTAGAGGGAACTTAGTCCTTGGTCATAATGGGTGAGATGAAACAGATGACATCAAGAAATGGCATTCTAGTGAAAAGAAGGAACATATCTAAATTTGCATCTTCCCTTTTTTGTCACCTTTGACCCCTTTGTCCTTCCCTTTAGCTTTCTCTCAAGACCTCTTCACATAAATGGTGATGTGGGCAGAGAGGATGCTCCATGGAGCCCTTGTCTGAATGAAGAAAAGGTGCCCTCTTGGAGGACTCAGGCCCTTGGAGCACAAGGCAAGGCAAACGGGATCTCAGCGCCTACCGTGCCCTCAGCTGGTCGCCTTAGTGTGGTGCGCAACTCCACATGGCAGGCTTCGCCATCAAGCTGCCACTTTTCCTGTCTGCCGACTCTTTAGTGAGTGGGAGGCCAGGCTTACCTAAGTATAAACAAGCTCACACACAGGCATGTGGATGACGACTAGTAAAACCAGATTTTTCCTTGCTGTGCACCAGTTTTGTTGAGGCTGATGTATGTTTCTGCAACTCTTCATCTTCTGTTTCTCATTCTCCCCAAATTAATCAAGGCCAAGTGTGTCCCCTACTAAATAATGATGCCATGCGCACTGCCTGCATCATTACCAGGCACGGCTCTTGCCCTGGAGTTCAGTTGGCAGCAGAGCTGCTGATGTGCAAAGCAGAATGGAATCCATCTTGGCTCTTCCTTGCTGTGTGGGCTCGGCAAGGCTCGCAGAATACAGACTTGTTTGTGTCTGGAAATTCAACAGCTGCAGCTCAGGGACTCAGAAAACAGATCTGCAGAGAGAGACCACATCATTATTTCCCTCGGCCAACCACGACCACCCTTTTAGGCCAGAGAAGGGAAGACTGCATTTCCCCTGCTGAGAGTTTGCATTTTCCACCTAGTGCTCCTACTGGAAACTCCTCCTAATGGAAGCTCCTTAGGCCCCAACTCGGCAGGTAACTTGGTCATTCATCTGCATCCTTCAAGCACCTGCCAAAAATATTTCAAAGGTGGTACATGAGCATCAAAGTTCACTTCCAACTTTTCATCCTCAAGAGAAGTGAATCCTTGCCTGGAGTTTATTCTCTGCCCTTTATTCCCCTGTAGCTGACCAGAAGGTCTTGTGAATTTACAAAAGTATGCAACATTGCTGTTCCACGACCCAGTTTAGCAAACTAACCCCTCTCTCTCAGGAACATTTTCCAGGGGTGATGGGACCCTCTTCCCACTAGAGCCACATCTTGTTCTCTGATGATGTCCACTGCATTCTAGATCCTTCATGTTTGGGCTTTTTAACTAGTGGGACCTCTTAATCAGGACTGTTCCTCCTTCCTAGCATCCAAACATGTAGTTCTTGCTTCCCTCTGGAGCTCTCTTCATTTTTTCCAAGACTCCCCACCCGCCAAAAATGATAAGAACAATAGGAAAGTTCTTAAGAGTGTGTTGGCTTTTGCTTTGTCTTGCCACTATCAACTTGGTCCAGGGCAAACAGAGAGAGGGGCTTTGTCACCACTGCATTCCTGAGCCTGGAAAGTGGTAAGGCAATGTTGCTGCCATGTGCAAGACTGTCACACACAGCCCGAGAATGCCAGTGTCTGAGTCTCTCTTGGTTGTAGGAAGAGCTGCTCATGAGCCCACAGAGACCTCTTCTCCACCAGCTCTGCCTCAGATCACCATGGCCTTCCAGGAAGCAGTGCTGTCCCCTCTGCTGTTTGGGAATTAGGAGTGGTTTGTCCGTAAGACTGAACAGAAAGGCGGGATTTACCACAGAGAATGAGCTGTAGTATTATCTTTGGACTTCAGATTTCTGCTGCCACAGCTTCATCACTTCCTTTTACCTCTATGGTGAGCTGAAGCTAAATTACTGAATACACAGCCAAAATAAAACCTGAGATCGGGTGAGCATGACAAAGACAGCGAAGGCAGCAGTGTAGGCAAGGTGCAGTTCCTGTCCCTGACACCTGTCCTCCTCCGGCCCCGCTCTGCTCTATGTAGAGTGGAAGGAAATTTCCTAAGGGAAGAGAACTATATCCCCACCAGCACTCCCCACCCCTGACTCCAGCATGGGTCAGACAATCACCTGAGGCCCTGAGCAGGCGCTGCCAGTGGGAGCTAGGACAGAAGGCGGAGGAAGGGAATGACACAGCAGCACTCCTGCCCTTGAGAAATATAAACAAGGGTTTGCTCGCCTTTGGTGGCCTTTGGCTGAAGGACAGTATGTCTTTATGAGAAAGCTCTCTTCTGGCAAGGCATGTTTTCCTGCGTCCTCTGGCTGAGCTTGCAGCTTCAAGAAAGCTGCATGTGGAATGTGAAAGAGAAAGAAGTCACCAACTTAAGCTGACATTTTTGCTGGTTCAATCTAGGTAATCACTAAAGTGACATATGGTGGTCATATCGACCTTACATGTGAAAAAATTCTAAACAATACAAAATAACACACTGAGGGGAACTAAAAGTGGGAGCCCTGAGTGAGCAGAGCGATTGGTTTGTGACCTACTCAGGCTTTCCCTGCCTCACTGGCACCATGTCAGCCCTTCCCCGGCACCTGCCCGATTTCTAGTTAACACTTCCCAACAACCTGGCCAGACTTATCAAAACAGTGGTGCCCCTTTACAGCTTGGTTCACTCTTCTTCAGACAGGGAGCTTCTCTGATATTCCACTTGGGAGATAGTTGGCCTCCCCTACTTAAAATTGAATGCCAGCCAACCCACACCATCCAGAAACTAGATGAGGGGCTCCTCACAGACACTGCTCAAGTATTGGGAAGAGAAAGATGAGACCCAATGTACAAGTACATCCTGAGCTCTAACGTTAGCGCAGGGAGAGAGAAATATAGGAGCCTCCAAAGCCACCTGTTTCTTTTAGAACATACTTTCCCTCAGGCCTCAGGCTCAACAATGAGAGACAGGAAAGTTCTGGCTATCCCCATGACCTGCCCAGCCTACCCCTGGCAGACATGCAATTGCCCCAGGAAAGGAGGGAGTAAAGACGCCTTCCCCAGACCTCACCGTTCCTCATTGCAAACATCTTGTGAGTCCCAGGAGCACTGGAAGAGTTTGTCCGCAGCCAAACACAACTTCCTGTTTCGAAGAAAGGGGAGAAAAAAAATAGTTGAAAAGGTTTTGGACACTGGAGATTTCAAGTTTCTGTAAACGCAAATGAATCAGACACATGTGGAATAAATTTCTCCGGAAGTAAGAAAAGATGCTGTGAGTTCCTCTTGCTGGACCAGAAAGTGGGAAAGGGTAGCTAAGAGGGGAGGTGCTTCAGAGGCTAAAAAGAGAGAGAAAATCCATGTGAATCTTGGCTAAAAGAGAGGGCCCCAGTGATGACAAGGATCCATGTGGGCCCTCCCAAGGCTACATCCTGAACTTGCTTATTACTCAGAACTTCTCCCCCTCTGAAGTCTTAAACTGAAATATCCTGCTCCCCAACCACAACTTCCTACCCTTCCAGACCTCTCACTAGTTCCCACTACACTTATTCTACGGACGCCCAGGTCCTTGGCCATCCCTGTGTCCACACATTCCCCTGTCTTTATTTCTTCTCTGTTTCTTCTTTCCTCGTGCTGCTTAGATTCCACGTTCCAGCACCTCAGTCTCAGTCTTGCCAATATTCCCAACTCACTTGCCCCACTAACTTTCTCTGGCGTTCAACAAGCAGAGCCCCACGCCAGACCTATTCAACTCTCTGATAGGAGCCTTATGCTCATTATCATTATGCTAACAACCAAGCTGCACAGCACTAGGGGAAATCACACACCACTGAGCATACGGGCGCCACCATGAAGTTATGGTCTCCAAGGGAAACTCTGACCAGCAACTCTGACTAGCTGCCCTAGTCAGTTCTATTGCCACTTCTCTATGAAATTATTTTATACTTTCTCCACTCCCCTCAAGCTCATGATCCTGCCACATTTCCCCTTACTATGAGTAGATGACTTCACCCTCTACTACTAAGTGTATCCTACACTGCATCTCCCTTGATAGAAGAGAGAGAGAGGACACAATCTCACTGTTAACAGGTCAAATTACAGACATGAAGCTAAAAGAATGTTATAATTCTACCTTATTTTGGATTCAAGAGGCACATTCCAGTTGCTAGCAAGTCCATAGAAGGGTGAAGATTCAGGAGATAATTCCTCTTTACTATTACCTTACTAATTTACTTTATTAAATTAATCTCGCAGCTCCTCTGAAGGGCAC